CTACCCTGGCACCAAAAGGCAGTGTGCTGTCGCAAACCAACTGTAGCTGAGGACAGAAAAGGCCGAGCAAGACAAGGAAGGCAAGCGGCAAGGCCATTGCAAGCTGAGGAGGCATGTGACAGAGCCTTGCACGAGACATCCTCGCGCCGCCGAAATTCATTTTCTTGCTGCACATAAGCTGACATTCCCTGGTGTGACATATGGCAATAGAATTCCTGCCTTTTGTTCTAATTAAAAAGTTTTCTCCAGCAAAAAAGAAAAAAAAAGATCAAAAAGGTCTTTGATCGATCCGCTTGCCACAGGATATTCCACAGAGTTCTGACACCCAGCGTCAAAAGTCTGCGATTGTGGTTCAAGCATCAAAATAATCTGATCAAATTTTGACGCCCAGCGTCAAAATTTCGTGTGAATGAGCCATTACGGTTAGGAAAAAGACAAGATAAAAGATTCACACCTTTAACTGCGATGTGAAGAAACAAAATTGTTACATACCATATTCTACACAATATCCTCTTGAACCACAGGGCCTGCCACTCCACGAGTCTCCATAGCCGCAACAAGGGGTGGCACACCTGCCGGTAGGAAGCATCAAATTATAAGAAAATTACTGGTTCAACAGTCAACACTGAAATCACAGGCGCTTTGAAGTTACACACATGTGACACCTGGTTTAACATTAAGGAAAATTAAAAGTGCACACGATTAAAGCAAACACTGCACCAAACTTGCTCCTAGACTTCAAACTTTTAATATGAATGGTGGGAAAGCATGAAGCTGTGAAATCCAAGCCTGAAATCCCATGCTGGACATGTGTATACTCACCATAAAGAAACCATTTGTGAAATTATCCGAGCCCTTTAACTTGCACTAGAAATATTGCTCTCCCTTCAGACTGCTTCGCCACCCCAATACCCCTCAAATCTCATTCCCTGATCTTAGTCAGCTCAGTTCAGTGGCTGTCACTTTTATTTTCAAAATTTCTCTCCTAGTGCACATTCAGTATTTTTGTGCATATTTCACTGCTTTCGACACGGGCACTCACTGTCAACACGCCGCTTCACAAACCGCTCCCAAATCGAGTAAGAATGCTGCTGCCACTCTATATCATACTATGAGTGGCCCCATTTCACCTATGTACAGCTGCAACTTTAAAGAGAAATGCACGAGCTATTCCTGTAAGGAGAACAGCAAATTGAGGCATGAAAATTGACACTGTGTGTAAACATAGAGACAGTCAAACTCCAAACCCAAGCAGGGTCAGCTCTCGCATCACGATTCAGTGCTTTACCATCACAGATATTGCCTACCCTGATTTTGAAAAAGTCTCTCCTGTATCAGCATTCAGTTTAACGAAAAAAACTTACAGAATCACAAAGAATGGTAGCAGCAGTAGTACTCATTTTGGGATATGAAGAAGCTTGTTGACCATTTAACGCAGGGAATTAAAGCAAAGTGTAGATAAGAAAAATGTTTTAAACTTTATTTTTTTGCTTTGTATACATCTTTGTAAGTATGGCCTATGGGGGGTACTTAGGTACACTGTGGGCCGCGCCATAATCTGACTACGTCTTCTTCTCAAGGCATCGTAATTAGGTTATGGCGCAGCTCACGCGCTCTCCAGCTAGGAAGATGGCGGCGCCCAGGGGACGTACCTGCAAATGTGTATATGTAATCGATCACTAAAGTTATTTTTGGTGCAAATGAACTTCTAAGCAAAAATCTTTTAGGTTGCAAATTTGCGACATCGAGCAGTTAGGCCTGGACAAATAGGTTATACTGTTTCACCTTACATCCGGATGCAGAGGACGCTACGTTACAACCTCGACCTCCTGTGCTCTGGCCTCGGCCGCCCTAGCCTCAGCGTCCCCCAGTCAGGTCGGTCCTGGTCTCAACCTGCTCCATGCTGGCTTCAGCCTCGGTGGCCCTGCCCTGGCTTCAGCCTCGTTGGCCCAGGCTTTGACCTTATTAGCCCTGGCTTCGGCCCCGGTCTGAGGCTCACTGGCCCTGGTCTCGACATTGTTGGCCCAGGTCTCGCCCTCCTTTATCCGGGACTCCTTGGACCTAGCAGAGGCCTCTTCAGCAGAGGCCAGGGCAGGTACAGCGAAGACAGGTCCTCGAGCTTGTGATGCAACGTCCTCAGGATCCCCAGAAGATGCACGGAGCTATAAACAGAAAATATAAGCAGTAATGATAGATTATCAGAGTTGTACAACAAAGTATAACATTGGAAGTCCTAAGCAACTGCTTCCCAGAAGTGACCTCTGACTGACCCGCAAAGCTGCATTCCCGTTGCCACCAACTTTTTCTAATGCTGAGGAAAATAACATCATATGTCATCTGCCCTCACAGTGCAAAGGTTACTGAAACAGTATATCTAGTCTCCAATTACTTCAGCATTCTGAACAGCTTGCAGTTTGCATGAATGAATAATTGATAAGTACACTTGAAAAAGCAATAATGACATTGATTAAAATATATCTAACCAAGCACCAAAATGGCAACATTATATAAATCTGATGCGCTCTCCATAAAGCTAACACTTTCTAACAAAAATGTTGTTATACATACCCTGTGACCTTTCAGCTCCTGGCGAAGCTTTTTGAGAAGCTTGTCCTCCACAGTGTCTTTTTTTTTTTCTTGTGGGCTGCTTGTTCTGCAACGAGTGATTTCAAGAAAAAAAAATCAGCAAGTTTTTGCAAAATTTCGAAAGACGTTGCGAACGTCGCTGTTGAAGCCGCAGGATCACAGCGTGGTTCATGTTCCGAAGTTCCGCGATTATAAGCTGCGCCATTGTAAACTCATTTCCTTGACGTCACACTTCGAGCAGAAGAAGCTCTTGTCGAAAAAATAATCAGCGACGGACTCACCCGGTCTGTGTCCGCCGGAGCATCATCTCGTAGAGTGCGAATCGTCATCATCGGGGAACACCATCTGTAGTTCTTGAGCCCATTTCGACCAAGTTTCCAGTCGCTTCCCGGTCGTTGGATGCCACTCAAGCCGTCCCGCTCACCTTCGATGAAGCAACAGCGAGCGTTATTTCATCGCTCCACCCGGACTGCGTTGCGCCGCCACCGTGTTGATATGCGCCTCCCAGTCCCGCGCACTTCATGGCGCTCGCTGCCGACGACGAGTCAGAGAAGGCGGTAATGGACGCCGTCAAGTCTGGCATCGCGGTCACCGATGCGAAGCCCGGTTGCGACGCCAGGGTCCGTACGAGCTCACGGTCCGCGGCCATGGCTGTGCTTTCTCGTCGAGTCAACGGGAACACTGAACGGCCTCTCGTCGGTGGCGGAAACAATGGACGCGCACCACCGCCCGCGAAGAAGACTCACGTTCGTCGGCGTGAACGTGGCTGTCGCAGCCACCACTGTTCCGGGGAGGCTCAGCGGTAATCCCACTTCGGAATGCTAAAGTTTTCGAAGTAACATCATCGAACGTTCATTAAAAAACTGGTTTATTTAAAGACAACAAAACTGACGGCTGATCAATCCGGCACCATCTGGATGATTATATGGGTATGGATACTACTGCGGCACCTTGCAACGCACTTTGTAACGGGCGGTAGCTTGCGCCACCTAGCTTAAGTCTAAAAAGCGACGTATTTGCAAACGTGGTCGGTCACGCTCGCGACTGATAGAAATACCAAGAACTCAAACGCGTCACGACAGCAACAGACCCCAAATCATTCGAATTTTAACACTGCAATGAAACCACGCGGAGCTCTCAGACGCAGACACGATGAAGCTTGTTTTTTCTGCGTCGACGAAACTCAGGAGCATCGATTTCGCGACCCGGTGCACCACTACACAAACTGCACTGCTTTATAATCCGACTGAGAACTAGTGCCACTAAATAAGCTACGCTTCGACGACAGAAGATTGCTCGTCGATGTTGGTGGGGCAAATAACACGTAGCACTGATGATTAAACGATGGAATCACAGACGTAGTCGGTCATGCTCGCATATTTGTTGATTGTCACCAAGCAATCACTTTCTTTGTACGCGGTGTTCGGATTCATCCGCCAAGCGCCTGACTTTTGCGGGTTGCGATGTGATATCAGCCTCCCGAAGCTGGTGGATCAAACGGTAATAGCGTATCTCACTCGCTGTTGCAGGCTGCTCACCGCGTCCGTGTAACCAGAACGAACTGGAAACGACAACAACTACGCTGAGACCGCAGCGGCTACCTTTCATATTCCTGAAGATATCAACTAAACGTACCTTTCACAGTTTTTCTTGCGCTCTTGTGAGGGGTAACCACTGCGTCAACGCAACTATTGTTGTCGTTTCCAGGCGGCTCATTTCTTGATCGCCACGCCGGGAAGCTACGCGTCCACAGCGTGTGCGCAACTTATAATGGTCACTACACTCATTCTGGTACGGTGCAATCGCAGACGTAGTCGGTCACGCCTGCCACCGGAACGCTGAGAACTTGATCAGGGGGCTCACGTACAGCACTGAAACGCCACAGCGCTCGAAACAACGCGAGCTGCTGACGCCATTTCATGACACAGACACAGCGACGAAGCACAATGTTGTCCTCATTTCATGGTGAGCGCAGCTAAGCATACTCGGTGCATGCTCTGATTATCCTTTCAGCGCACTTCCATAGTAAACTTTTCGTTCACTAAAAGAAACCTTAGAGAGGCAACTGATAAGTCACTGCACGAATACTTACAAGATCCTTCCAGCTTACTTCCATAACGTTCTTCTAGTGCACTAAAAGATACCCAGGACAGGCTACTAGTAAGACGCTTCGCATGAACTTTGAAGCTACTTAGGTCTTAGCTAGTTTACTAAAAGTATACTATTACAGTACTTACTTCAAGCATACTAAGAAAGGACACTAATAGTACAAGCCTACTTCTGGCTAGCATCCTTTAAGGACAATTTTAGTATACTTCTTGAAAATGAGTATCTTAAAAGACCGTAAAGTATACTTAAAGTAACCTAGTTTTCGCTAAGGGAAGCGCCTCTTCACCCCTAGGCATGGCCGACAGCACCGTGGAGACGACTACACCTGGACTTTGCAGGCCCGTTCCGCGGAACCATGTTCCTAGTCGTGGTGGACGCGCACTCAAAGTGGCCAGAGGTGTTCACCATGCAGAGCACTACGACCGAGCGCACTGTGAGGTGCCTACGTGAACTTTTCTGCAGGTTCGGAATTCCGGAAACAATCGTTTCAGACAACGGGCCGCAGCTGGTGTCCGAGGAATTCAAGGTGTTCATGAGGAACAACGGGGTCAGACACGTCGTGAGCGCCCCATACCACCCGAGCACAAACGGCCTGGCAGAACGGTTTGTGCAGACACTGAAGTCTGCACTACGCAAGTCATCTGCTGGTGAGTCTCTGGAAGAAGCATTGCAACACTTTTTACTGACGTACCGGAATACTCCACATTCAACAACAGGAGAGACGCCAGCAAACTTGTTGATGGGCAGAAGATTGCGTTCCAGGTTGGATGTAATCAAGCCTACGGTAGAGGGGAAAGTGATCCACAAGCAATTTATACAAAGTAAGCAACGGAGGACAAGCAGAGAAGAAATCTGCCCTGGTGACAATGTCCTAGTGCGAAATTACAGGAGTTCGCCGAGGTGGTTACGTGGTACCGTCCTCAAGAAGACTGGTCCAGTATCTTACCAAGTCCAGGTTACCACGCCTCGAGGCAAGTTCATCTGGCGTCGGCACCTCGATCAACTTTTGAGCCAAACACGGCCAACGGCAACGCCGGTACCTTCGGACACCGACGACGCTGAGGGGTTCCTGGTCTTTTCACCAGGCGAGCCAAGTGTCCCGGCCACGGTACAAGAGCATGGGCCACAGCAGCCTCACACCATCCCGCAACGGGATCCTGTACCTCCTACAGGCCGATCTACTTCTGAAGGACGCTACCCATCGAGAGAACGGCGTCCGCCTGACAGATACCAAGCTCGCTCCTAACTTTTGTATAATACTGCCGTTGGCGCTGCTACGTAATTAAAGGGGGAGGAGTGTTGTGTAGTTACCGCCAAGCGCGCGCTACTGGGACTATAGTGGCGGCGCTTTAGTTCCTTCGCTCTTCTTCTTTATCGTCGTGTCAGTTTGAGAGCACGAGAGGTTCGTTCTAGTTCCACGCTCCATGGAATAAACCTCGGGCCATGGTCCTCCGGTCTACTGTGTCTGTTGCCCCGTCAAGACACGACAAGGATCGCCCCCAAAAGGAGTGCGGAAGCAATGCCCCCATTCAACCGGAAACAGGCCAGGAATCGGAACTCTAGCCTGAATGTAAATCAGGCCCCACGTTGGGCGCCAATTATGTAGGGTTCTCGGCTGATTCCCCGGGCCCCTGTCTCCGGATGAACGTGACACAGCAACGCATAGCTCTCGGCAGAAGGGGTTTATTCCACTCACATTCTGCTGGGGGGTTTCGGGATCGGGACAGGCGATCGAGGAAGCCTGGAGGGGAAGCGCCGCCACTGTATGCTGCATGCCGATCGTCCGTGCGGTGCTAGTCTGCACCGCATCCTGTGGACGTCGCCGTCGAGGGTCAAATCCGGGGTCTAAGTCCGGACCATGTCACCGGGCCGTCGCCCGAGCCGGCGGCGCGGTCGCCACCCAGCGCGAACGTCCGTCGTGCCCCGTTTCCCGCGCCAGAGTCTCCTTTCTCCAAATCTCCCGTCGACCGTCGTCCCAGCTTCCCCCGTTCCCGCCGTCGCCGCGCACCAGACCAGCGGGGGCCTCTTGTTTCCCATCGTGGGCGGTCTCTCGCTGGAGCTCCCCGTCTCCTCTGCCGCGGCACGAGCAGAGCCTTGGGCGCCGACGCTGTCCGGGAGGGGGGTCCTATGATGTCCACCGCCGACACCGCCAATGTCTTCAAGATGGGTCACGAGGGAGGAGGCGCTCGGGAACCAAACCTCAAAGGCGCCGTCCTTGCCACGGAGGGGACCGAAAACGAGTCTCCAGGCGCCGGCGTCCGGTTGTCGACGAGAGGGGGGCTGACAAGACCCCACAGTGTCCAGTGTCAAGCATAACACGTGGCTACCGACGTTGTCGACGTTTCGAACACTTACCGCTTTCGACAAAAGTCGTGGCACCAGGGCTAACTTTCTGGAAAGACTCGAAGTCATCCTTGAGTCCAACGCCATCATGAACAGTAACTAAAAACGATCCACTATTCAATCGGTGGGTGGCGAAACGTACTGTAAAACCCTTAAAGGGACCATGAAATGAATTTAAAATCTAATTTCATCCACCGCACGTCGTAAAAGGTGTGAAAAGAAACACAAAAACACAAAACTAGGGAGCCAAAAAAAAAATATTTGCTATAGAACTTTTAAAAGAAAACTGGACTCTTTTGCGACTTCTTTCCTTCGAAAGCTCTGCCTTTTCACTACGATGCATCCGCAGAAATGGAGCACGTCAGCCGAATCCACGTCGCCTATTGGGTAAGAGCCTACCTCACCAGCACCGCGATCGTAAACAATAATAGCCGGCGAATGTTTCCTAAAAGTTTTGTTAAATAATATTCAGACCCACATTTTGTAGCATAATTAGAGATGTGTGGCGAAAATTGCCAAATTTGATAATGCTGAGAGCCAAGCGCCATCTATCGTGTGGTAAACGAAGCAACTACTGCGCGTGCGCAGTAGGGCAGTGCTGGCAGTGGCAGGGCCGACTGCCGGCTGGCAGGGCCTTCCTCTCAAAACTCTGACTGACTGAACGTTTATTTTTCTACGTGTTCATCTCGCGCGTGCCGACTTCAAGCAGCAAGAAAAAAATGTACTTAAAACAGACCACGACGAACAAGAACGCTGGATCCACAAACACCCGAAATGAGCGACAACAGCCGCGAATCGCGCTCCGACGAAGCTCTCAGAATATAGGCCTAGCAGGCACTCCGACTCGGCGCAGCGTTGCTCCGTCGCAAGACCGTCTGTCTGCCTGCGACCGGCTGGCGTGCTGAATGGAATATGCCCGCGCTACCCTTATGGGGTACCCTTGTGGACCCTTCCCGTATAATAGTTTGATCGCTGACCTCAATTTTACGTTAAGAGGTGAGGTCAATCTCTTCCCCTTGTTTTCCGAGGCAGTGTTGACGAACACTCGTCGAAAAGGGACCCTCGTCCATTCTCTCTTCTTTGTTTTGTGTGATATAGAGCTGAAATAAACGCTGTATGGATTACCTTCGTAACACGGTATGTACACTTTGTTATTGGTATGCCATTTTTATCCTGACAGACTGCACGTCACTGTCGAGCTATAACCGTTCGTGAGAGGTATACGTGCAATACCGGTCCAACCTTTCTTTGCCGAGTGTCGCGTCAGTATCTAGTTGCAATCGTAAAAGATCGGTCCCGAAGCGCTTACCAACAGCGCGAATACAGTAAAACCTACCGGCGCACCCCAAATCGTCGCCGCTAATGCTCCCATCTCCTACTGCCGAGAGAAGTTCCGGTTCCGGAAATAGCGTACGTCACGGCTTGTTTTGCGGTCAAGAAAAAGTCGATATTTCATTAATTTTTTGAGTAGAAGTTAATAAACCGAGACGAAAACGGATGCCTGTTCGGCATTCAGTGAACATTGACGGTTTAATGTAAAAGTTATCTGGAAAAAGTAACAAAAGTCATTTCATGGTCCCTTTAATGTTCGCGAGCCCTCAATTTTCGCGAATTGAAGAATTCGCGAAATTTAAGGGTGCGCGAAAATTTCGGTCCTTAAGATTTTCAATGAGGCGTCTGGAATTCGCGAAATTTAGTGGTCGCGATTATGTCATCTGTAACCGATTCGCGAAAAATAGGGGCCGCGAAAATAAAGGGTTTTACAGTATCCGCATCTGCGGAGTCATAGGCGATGCGTACTCTAAGTGGCTGGAAGTTTACACTATGCCTGCCACGACGTCGAAACACGTCATTGACGGTCTCTTTTACCTACTTTTGCCCTACCGAAAATACTTTTCTCTCATAACGCGCCAAATCTTGTTTCAAACAAAATAAACAAGTTTTTGAGAAAAAAAACGGCATCAGGCATCACATTAGTGCACCATACCATCCTGCAACTAACGGGCAAGCAGAGCAGATGGTGTGCGAAAACAAAAAAGAAAAAAAAGCTCTTTTGATGTTTACGGAAGAAGCAGTTCAGTGAAGAATCGCCAGGTTCTTGTTCCGGCAGCACGCGACGGTCTCATCTTACACGTTAAAAACACCCGCCGAAGCAATATTCCTCGGACGGAGAGCCACACTTCTCGATCTCATGATATTATGGCTTACGAACGAAGATCGAGAGATTCCCAGATCGGGAGTAATTGCAGTTTATTCGGTCGGACAACTCGTCTACGTAAGGAACTTCAGCGGAAGTCGGGCCTTCCATGTAATACTTGAGTAAAAAAGGCTCTATGTTGTTCGACCAGAAGATGTCATCTTTCTGAATACGTTGGATATCAATGCCCTTGAGTGTAAATATAACTAAATCACAAAACTCTCTTTGTGTATTGTGTAACTGCCCTTGTATTTGATAGTAGAAGCTATGGTGGTGATTTAAACCTTTCACACCACGCTCCTTTTTTTTTTTTTCGCCTCATACTCCTTTGCGGTTTAAGTATGCTTCAAGAATCTTTTGGAACGGGGACACTTTACGTCAACGAGGCCATTTGTTCCAAGTAGTCAATCAGGGAATGCTGCTAGAAATACGTCCCTCCTATTCACGAATAAGCCGCACTTCTGCACAGTGCAGTTTCCCTGTTCCACGTACAGTTGTAAAGCAGCATCCTGATTGATTCTACCATATTCTGTTGCGGGTAAAGAAAGTCTTTGGGTACACGATACTTGAAACAAGTCTAGCACTGTACGTGTTGGTTCGACACCCACTAATGTCGTCGTCCTTATAGAGCCTCATCATTTAATCGTTACCTCGTCACCTCATATTGCTCGTCATCAACAGTAAGTACAATAGGCTACCGCCATATTACTATCCAAGAATTGAAAAATTGAGTCGTTCAGTCGTTCAACAAGTTTATTATTTATATAATCTTATTACGTTACATTACCTCGAGACGATCGACGTCCATCGTCGATCTTCAAATACTTATACCTGAATATAAATTAGACGCACAAGGGGGGGGGGGGGGGGGGGGGGGGGGGGGGGGGGTCGGTGGCCCAATACATGGTCTAGCGCTCACCAGCTCGGAGCACTTGAAGCGAAAGCTCGCACTGCAGCCCGCCCCTGCCCGTTTCGATCTGGAAGAGAATCGTACCGGCGTGCGGTCGTGTATCACTACTACGTGGTGCACGTTAAAGACCCTAGGTTTGCGGTTGTACCGCACTGGCTAAATTGCTCATTTACAGCTGAGACACCAGACGCCCACTAAGGCAGGCTAACTTCCGGCTGTATAAACATACACACAACAATTCGCAATTAGACGCGTAATAACAAAGATCACAGCGTGCCGCCTCTTTTCTTTGGATGCCTTTTTTTTAAACCAGCGCAAGCTCGCGCGTTCTCTCTTATGAGACGGTTAGAACGGTCGCACATAAAACCCGTGTTTCTCCTACCCGGCCGCTTCCTCCTCTCATTAAGTGTAATTGGTTATAACTAAATAAGCTTTAATAATGGTGTATTATTCATATTTACTTTCAGTTTCAGTCAGGGAAAAGGAGTTTCGCGGGAACTAGAGCAAATAAATTAGCTGCGCTTAGAGTATCGGCACTCCCTTCCTCGACAGTGTTGTAAACGCCGCCATTCTGGTGCTTGTGCAGAGCAGGCGCAACTGCCGATCGTCATGATTCAAAAGTGCGACATCCTCAGCATTAGATTCGGTGTTAGGAAGCTCATGTAATGTTGCTTTGCTTTGTCGCACACTGTTTAAAGTGGAGGACGGAAAACCGTTCCTTGGGATTTCAGATAAAGCTTCAAATAACTGGCAACCATGATTTTAAGCCACAATATGGCCAAGTGTCGCTACTCTGACGCGTAGCTTATTTAATGACACTATTCATGCTCTTGTTCAAGAGGCTTGTAATACCTGGAGGGGCCATGACGTAAGCCTCGTGGATTCCACAAGCCACTACCTTTTGACACCTGCCTCTTCCTCGTTGTTCCCGCTT